TGCCCGACATAACTCATGGCGACGATGCAATTTGGTAGAAATCTAGCAAACACTTAGCAAGGAAAAGCAGGACTGAGCACACCTCCTCCTCCCCACACACGCTACATTGTTTGCGAGGCGTTCGTTCTTTCGGCTTTGCTAATGGCAAGAGCTAGCGTAGGACCACGTACATTACCACTCGTGACGCCAGTCGCTTTTCGTCCTCAGTCTCATTCGTCCTCAACAAGATGACTGTGAAATCGTTACAAAGAGGCGACCCACTACAATGCCAACGCTGTTTTTATGCGCACCCCACAACATATTCCAGTCGTCAGTGCAACATCCTATTGCATACAACTTATGCCCCTCACTACAACGAACAGACAGTCCTCCTTCGACGAACTCGATGCTTCTCGTCCATCATCTTGGAAGACGCCCGGCTACGTTTCTTGCCTGCTCACGGCTCAGAAGTTCATCGCGATTGCTCCTGAACAAATCATCATAGATCCTCTATGAATCATGATTTGTCGAAGCCTCTCGCTGGCCGGGAGCTGACCACAACGGCGGCGTGACCTCGCCGCTCCCCGGAGTGTCACCTTCCCGGCGTGCGGTGTCACCATAGTCAGGCGATCCATCACCGTGTCGCCTGAAGAGACTCGGCTCGGGCTCGCCGCGATCCATCAGCGGCTGTGCCGGCGGCCTGAGGTCGGCGGCCACCTCCGGCTGACGGAGCGGGCTGGTGCCGCCGACTGTCCAAGACCGGTCTGGGATGGACGGACTGGGATGGTCTGCGATGGACGAACTGGGATGGTCTGCGATGGACAGACTGGGATGGTCTGCGATGGACGGCTCCATGGACGGTCTTCGGCAGCTGGCTGGTGAACGGACATACTGTCCAGAGTCGCTGATCAATAGTCAGCATTTTTAACGGGCTCCGTATCCATGAGGGTAATCCAACAGGATGTCTGTTTATCACTAAGCGTCCTGGCGACCCTTGGGTGCGGTGACAAATTGTGGGGTGTCAGCTGCCATGTAAGTGCTACACTTTGCACCAAAGCTGTTCGGGTCTCGCTCTGAAAGTCATAGGATAAAAGAGGGGAGAGATTACTCAGCAAGCGAACGCTGAGTGGACAAAGCTGCAGAGTTCATTTTCCCAAATGATCTTTGCTGTGTCTGCTAACTTGCGGACTAAAGGTAAGCTGGTTAAGATCATAAGGTATAAATTGCGCTTCAACGACATTGTGCATGCCATCATGGAATGAAAAGCGAAGTAGTTCATATCTTTCATATATCGTGATATTGCATTTCTGAATTGGATTTGATGACATTTTTGCGATTTTGATGCTAAAGACGGCGCTGCTACACGTTATGAGAAACCGCACTGTCCTGTCCACACAAGTACCGTCAATCAACCTGTCGCAAAAAAGCAAGGGTGCTGCATCTGGATCCCATACTGCACGAATTACATGATGGCAATACCAGCCAATACCGAAGACTTGTTGGCAATACCAGCCAATGTCATCAACAATGCCTCCATGGCCGAAAGGTGCAAGCTATAGCGTCAGAACACTGCAACACGTTTATGCCTCGATGCAACAAACTGCTCGTCATTTCAACACCAATATGAAAGGACTCGTCTCATACCAACTTTGATGATCTGCATGATTTGTGACTGTGGTACATCTGGAACATCTGTACATCTGTACAGCTGTGTGCTGTTTGAAAAGATCGTGAAGTATGTTTCATTGTTTCAGGTACGTTTCAAACCCCGTGGGCTGCTTGTGTTGTACCTTCCACACGAAAATCAGGTAAGCCCATTGAAGACGTCGCGGAATCCATCGTAAATTTTGTGGAAATCATTTCCATGCGTACAATCAGTAAGTGGATGACTTGTTCACGCCCTTATGCTTTCAATAACTTCGTATAAAACCCACGTACATTTTTGGTCACTTACGAAACAAAACTGACGGCAAAAGTCGTCTGGATATTTCTTCGGTAAACAATGTCATAACGGGGCACGCCAAAGGCTTTCAGCATCAACGCACACACCCAACCGTACTCTTTTTAAGACATTAGGGCCGCTCCGCCAGGACGTTGTAAACATTCAGTTTGCCGACCTGCCTACCAGTTACCTTCGTATTGCCTGCTATGTGTTGAACTGCATACCGGGGCTAACCTTCATTAACATAAAGCCCTCGGGCAACGATGCACCTACTTAATGCCAGGTCCGTACCATCCTCTGCCCTCCGCCAACCAGGATTTACAGTCGGTGCAGACGGCATTGTGTACCTGTCACGTCTAAATCCATCCTTGGCGGCGGTGTGCGGCTCGCGTCGGCCGCCGCCCTCTCGTGTTACTTCCCCACCGTCCGCTGCAGTCTCCTGACCGGAGGAACGGTAGAGGAGCGTCGCACGCTCCGTGATCGATCTCAGCTTCAGAGCATGTCTGTACGGCTGTCCAATGGCATTAGACGTAGGTGCATAAGAACTCGAGAACTCAATGTTTGTCGGCCACGTAGCGTCATACAGCGGTATAGCTAGCATTGCCGTGTGCGGTAGAATAACTGTCATAACGGTATGCTGCAGAAAAGCCATCATAGCAGCATGTAGCAGTACAGCTAGCATAGCTGTATGCCACAGTATAGCATACCCGCGTGCAGCAGCATAGCTAACAGCGGTATGCAATAGTATAGCTAGCGTAGCGATATGCAGCAGTATAGCTACCATAGCCATATACAGCAATATAGGTGGCGTAGCGGTACGCAGCAGTATAGCTAGCGTAATCGCATGCAGCAGTACAACTAGCATAGCTATATGCAGCAGTATAGCTAGCGCAACCGTACGCAGCAGTACAGCTAGAATAGTGGTATGCAGCAGTATACCCAGCATACTCACATGCAGCGATATAGCATAGCCGCACGCAGCAGCTCAGCCAGCTTGTCCGATGCGGCCGGAGCGGGCACTGACGATTGGTCGTTTGGCCGGCCGACCGGACCCGGCGGCTGGCGGTCCGACGGGCCGGTGACCGGCCGTCTGGGTGGAGTCCACACACCCGCAGTAGGAGGCCGACCGCCGCTCCGTAGGGGTGACGCGCTGCCTCCTCGCACCGCCACCCGGCGCCCCGAGCTCAGCCGGCACGAGGCGCCGTCACGATGACCCGCGTGTGGACAGTGAGTGTGTTGGTCTGCCTGATGGCCGTCACCGGAGCGGGCAGGTCGGGCAGGGTCGGTGACCTGACCTGCCGCTCAGAGGTCCGTGGTGAGCCGCTGACGGCAGTGATGGGCAAGCTCGCCGCCCTGAACCGAGCTCGAGGCACGGGGACGTTCCGAGTGAGGCGCATCCTGCGAGGTGATGGGAAATTGCGTCACACCCTGATCCGGGTGCATGGAATCGGAGCACAAACGTGCGGTGCGTCAGTCAAGAAAGGGTCGAGACGGATCCTTCTCGTCACCGGGCAACGAAACCCATTTGAAGTTCGTGGCTTCTTCAGGATTACTAAAGGCAACGTGCGGAGGGTTCTACAAATACCAGGTTGGTGAGAAGATGACACGCGGTCTGTGTTGGATGTCGTCAGTTGAACATGATAAGCATGTTTCGTGCACTCCATTCTTCCAAAACACCAGCGTTTTCCGAAGTTAAGGACCACTGACATTAAACGACCGTTTTTTTAGATTTAGCTCAAACCTCCGTCATAATTGTTGAGCATAGTGTGCTTGAGAATGTCCGTCTACTAGGACCAGTGCCCGAAAGTGGTTCGCATTCCAGTTTAAACCACCATTCGTCGCGTCATAAGTTTCTCACCGGTGGCCAGCAGCGGTCGGTTATTACAGG